TATCTGTGTGAGTCAGTCTATGTGAGTCAGTCCATTTATCAGACTTCCGCTGCATACATGCTCATCCTATATTGGTTGATCTCTTGGTTCTGCCCGTACTTGTCGAAGTATTCAGAAGTATGCAACAAAATAGTAAGGAGAAGAGGGAGAGAGGAGCAAGAATGATGGGGAAGACATTTATGTAAACTTGTGTAATCTACTCTTTATCCCTATCCATCTCTTCTTTTGGTTTCTTTTTTTTGCTTTTATGAAAGTTCTGCTAGCTGGGCTGCTACTGCCCTTCTCCTTCTTCTAGGTAGAGGGTGAAACTTGTGTAATCTACTGCCCTTGTCCACAGAATGATATACTTTGCTTGCCCGACTTCTGGTAGCTCTTGGGCGGCACTTCCAGGCTCCAGCGACTGCCTGCCTCAATTGTGCCCAGTACGCCACCCAGTGTTCTTTCCGTTTACTGGGAACAGCACTGAAGACTGAAATCTACCAACAGGCTCTGCAGCTAGACTACTACCTTCCTACATTCAGGCCCTGGACCATCATCATGTACAGGTAAGCTACCGGACCTTTCCAGGCTTTCACAAATTGCTGGAAATGCTTCATATGCCCCCGGGGCGCTAAACTAACCCCCTGGTAGTTTCTCTATCAGTACCTTGTCCCTGTCTCACGCACAGCTACACACACAAGCAAAAAACTCAAAAGTCTTCGTGTCCATGGCATGCTGCCGTGACTCTCGGGAAGATCGGGGCGCTGTTTTGCTGGACATCCATCCAGGTAAAACGGGCCTTGCATGCGATCCGTTTCGCCTGGATGGACACCGCAACTGTGACTTTCATTTTCTAGCTGGGAACATGAACCTGCTTGCACTCCCATTACTATGCACCCTCATTCTGCAAGAGCCCCATGCTCGAGACCCACTCATCTCTCTCTCTCTCTCTCTCACACACATACACACTCACACACACACACACACACACACACACACACACACACACACACACACACACACACGCAAACACAAACACACAATGTCATGAAAAAAGAAACAGAAAAGAGGAAAGAATGAAGAATGATTTAGGCCACCAGTACGGGATGGGCTTGTCTTTTTTTTCTTTCCAAAACATTGTAACTTTTATAACAGGAAATGGAGATTCAGGCCGTGGACGTCACAAATCAACCCATAAAACACGGGCCATTTCTCTTTGTTCTGGCTAACCGGTCTAACTTCCCAAAATAATTGATCCTTAATATTCCCTATAGCAACTATATAGCTCTGTATTCCATTAATGGCTAAACGATGACATCACGTTCAAAAAAAAAAAAAAATCCCAAAACTGCTAAAAGAACAAAGATGCTGAAGTCGTTTCCTTATCCATTATCATCGGTCTAGCGGAAGGACAATTTTCCCCTGACGAAAATTCCCTTTATCAAACCCGTAGCAGGCAGGGCAGCTCATCAAAATAACGACCTCCTCATATGCCATAGAAAAGTAACGGAGGCCGCCCCGGTACTGGTGATCTAACTGGGAAAAAGCGCCTACACAGAAACCTGTTCGGTTTCGGGAACACAACAGAACCCGGGCCAGTACTATGCGCCTGGGAAAACAATGCAGGGTATTTTCATCCGAGTACTAGACGGCAAGGCCCCGGGAAAATGCCTCAGGTAGGGCGCGACGTGAGATGAAAATACGGGATAATTGGTGGAAAGCGCCCGAGCCAAAACGTTTTTGGTTTTGGCCACCTGAAGTTTGGCCGTTTGGTACTACATGCCCAAAACTTTCCATCTGGGGTACTATTGGTGGAAAGAGCCCACGCCAAAACGTTTTTGGTTTTGGCGACCTGACGTTTGGCCGTTTGGTACTACCTTCCTGTGAAACAGGCCCACAATTTTTTTACTATTGTGGGCCATTTGCCAACATATGATCATGGCAAGGCAGGATGGTTGGTAAGTGGGTTAGTTGATTTTTTAGGACAAGGGAATATTGGTGTTGAGAACTGTTCGATTTCTAGACCTTGACAGTGTCTGGCCTCGAAACCGGGCCTTGTTCAGCTTTTGCGTGACTGTGTAAGAGTTGGAGGTCCAGGCTTTTTAGGACGGTTCAACCCTTTGAGTACTAGCGAGTATTCCTTGGCTTTGAGACTGCGACCTGTCCCTTCTATAAGTATTCTGCCTTTTGCTGGAAGAAAGTAGACGAGAGTTCGAGGAATAGCTTTCAAATGATTGTAGGACCTTGTTCCTGTGACTACCGGACGTTTGTAGGTTTTGACGATCGTGGCTGAAGTTTCTGGTCTTTTCGTTCCACTTTTAGACTAGGATAAATACGCGGTCTCGTCGATTCATTTTTCACTTCCGATGACGACGACCAAGACCCCTGATGATGGCTGGTTGGCGGGCCAGCCGAAACTTGTTGGGTCCATGCCGCTGTACTTCACCGTTATATTTTTCGGAAAGTCGTTCGGGAGAATTTCAATATGGGTATTATCCTTCTCACTGTGTGCTTGTTTACTCCCTTTGACCCTCTGTCTCGGCTTGGCTTTGCCTTTGTTGGTCTTCGTCTATATCTATTTTGATGACGTCACTATTGAATGCGTACTAACGAAGTTGTTGTGTTTTCACATAATACGTTTGGTACAACATGCCCAAAGCTTTCCATCTGGGGTAATACCCGCCCTCGCATGGCTCCAAGGGCCCTATCGGACCATGAATCTGACCATGTATCTGGCGCACAAACAGAGCAAGATTCATTCCAATCTAAAAGAGGCCGAGGGTGGTACCCCGAATGGATAGAAAGAGGCCCAAGTAAGGTCTCTTCAAAGAAACGTGGGGAATTCTGAACCAGCTGTCTCTATAGATTCAGTAGAGAAACTCAATTTTTCACCTTGGCTTTGGTCTGCAATTCAAGAAGGCTGAGGATGGTAGAATTATGTCCAAGCAATCGGTCTAGATGACAGTGTCAGGCTGCGCTCGCATATATTTGGTCCTTGGTTTAATGGTTAGCCTTGGTGGTAGTAGTATCAAAAGAGTACTGTGACGAACCACTTTCTGTAACGCGCGACTTTCTCCGCGGTTGCAATGACGGGTCCTACGTTGGGAAGGTTGGGCCAATTACAGGAGATCGGGATCAGTGGGGAAGTGCATCAGTGTCCTTGCTTTTTCGTTTTTCCGTCACTTCTTTTCGAAATGGCTGGGTTTGGAGCTGGGCGTGTCCTTGGATGGCCGGTTGATTGATTGGTCGGCTGGATGGCTGGCGCGCCTCTGCGCGCGCGATTAATAAATGTTGACGTCGTTTCTCTCACTTCGGTTTCAATCTTTTGGGCGCGGACATCACACGGCAATTTGCCTTGTTCTTTTCAAATTTTTCTTTCAAATCTTTTTCGAATTTTGTTGAGCCCTCATGGCTCTCGGAATTTCGGACTTTCTTCCTGGAACCTGCACTTTTGCTTTTCGCATTAGTTAGGGATTTAGGAATTTTATAATCAGGACTTTCTTTTGCCCCGCGGCGCCCTTATTTGCTTACGTGCTTCTTTTTGTGGCTGCAACGGAATTCTCATTAGTCGGCGCTTTTAATCGGGTGTGCAACTGTAATCTTGGGTTGGCGCCATTGTAACTGTATCTTTCTTCTTGCTCTTCGTCCTTCTCGCCCTCCTCCTCTTTCTTTTGCTGCGTTTTTGAAACTACGGACTGCATGCTCAGATCGATGCGTGGAGAGTGACTACGTCCCCCACGCCGCGGGCCGGTCATGTAGAACATAGGCACTCCCTCTCTAATCTCCCTTCTAAGTCTTGATAATTCCGTGTTCTTCGCGCATGTATGCAAGCTATAAATCCCGGCTGCGCGATTAGTTAGCTCTCTTAACCAGCTGTCGGAAGCTCGGGGTTGCGCGATCAGGAAGGGTCGGCACACGCGCGAAGTAAGAGGTGAGTAGAGCAGGAGTCGGGCGACCCGACGAGCTGGTGCCGAACGTGCGGGGTTGACGCGGGCCTTGACGGACTGTGGGCGAGGGCGAACCTGACGGGTACGGGAGGACGAAGCGGGGTGACGACGTCATGAAGTGCGCGACGACGGACTGTCCGCATTGGAGAAGAAGAGAGAGGAAGAGAGAGTTGAGGTTGATGGATGCGGTTTTTCTGTTTCTTCTATCTTTCCTCCCTCGTGTCTTGTGTGCATAAGTTATGATTTCGGCTTTGGGCAACTTGCTCGTTCTTTTCAATTTCTCGGAATTTGAACCTGGGGTTTTTGCTTATAT